AATCCCCTTTAGTCCTTCCAGTCATGCCTACATCCAATGGAGACAGCCAAATGAGACAGGATCATGACCACAGCTTCACAAAGCTTGGCATAATTAGCTTTTAAAAACTGCGGTGTTTTTCTCCTTGACTTGCCATTCCTAAAGCAATTGCAGTTGCCCATTAGATTTCTTCCGGGGTTTGAATTAGCAGGAGCCTTCTCTTCTCCTTGCTTCCCATCTTTTTAAGACTGGGCCAGATTTTATCATGCAAGGATGATAATAAAATATGTGCTTCTTTCCCATTCAATCTTACGATGGCATCAGCATAGCAGCATCCTCACCAAAAGAATCATTGAGGCAAATGAAAGTGTCGTAACTACCACAGTCCTTAACATCTCTCCTACCTACAGCCCTCCACCAGCACAGACAGTGCAGGGCTGCCAGCATGGAAGGAAAGAGGGAGCAGACCCAGCCTCCAAATCCTCTCCTCCTTACTTCCACTGCAGCCCTGAGGTGCCCCAATACTTATATTCTTTCTTCCTCGTGGAAGCATGAGTGCAAACATGCATTTAACAACAGGATCATGGACAGTCTTTTGCCAGGAGTTGCACTTGGTCTCCATTTCCCAGTGGAACCTGAGAGGAAGGCAGTTCCTTAAGATGCTCTCAGCAGCATAGAGCAGGTGCAGTGGCTTCTCTTGCTCAGTGATTCCCTTGCTACGACCATGATTTTGCCACTCCTATCAGTCTGCTGCCTTAAATGATTACCCACTTTTTTCCAATGCCTAATGCCAGTCTGGCTTACAGAAAACCACACAATCTTTTTCAGGAGCAGGAAAAAAAATGGAGGAAACAAAAACCATTTACACTGCTATTTATTACAATCAGTCTTATACCATTACTGGGGGAGGAAGCAGCTGAGCACCTCCTGCTATCATTGGCAATGACACTCAATTAAGCTGAGCATATCTAAATTATAGCTTTTAATTAAAAAGAGGCAATGTCTAAGATGGCAGCAACATGCTTAAAATTTAATACATTTTGCACCAGATGCTGGAGTCATCAACATAAAAAACCTTCTGCAACATGTGCATTTTTAAAATGGGAAAACCTATTTTTAAAATGTCAAACACTTTAAAATGATAGCAACACATCTCGAAGTCCTAGCTAAAGTTTTATGTGCTTTCCATTTAACCATTTACAGCTGAGAAAAAACTTTCTGAATATAACTTTTCATTTGTAATTTAAATAGTAATTTACCATCTAAATCATTAACAAAATGTGTGTTTTTTTCCATCATAGCAAGTTAGAAATTAAAGTTGTCCTTTTAATGAAAGGTTTATTGCTTTCCTTTTTTTTTTCCCCATAAAGGCACACATTTGTCTCCCTCTCATTAACATTAAGTCTCTCATACATTGCCCATATGTGTATGATATCAAGCATGAAAGTCATAAAAAGTAGGTTATACAAACTTGGAAATCTTTCTTCTTTTAATTATTTTTTTCCTATTTAGTTTGATGGTATTTAAATGTTAGGGTAGACAGAGACTTGCAATACTTTCAGAAATACCTTAGTTCTGAAAGCTAGATTGCTATTCTTCTAGCCATTATCATCATATGCTTTGGATTAAAAACAAAAACATCATAGCAGGTAGAAACCAAATCAGTCCTACACAGGGTTGCCGTTCTGTGGCCATTATTATAGTTACTTCATGAGCTTAAAAATTTGGGAACTGAAATTAAAAATACATTCTGAAAGATGAGGTGATGATTTTTCTGCCGTCATATACTACATAGGCTGAAGCTATGCAAGATTCTTAAAAGGAAAAAGACTGAATCACTGTTCTTCAAGAAAAAACAATGCTTTGCTGGCAAAGTTTTGAATATCCCATAACTCCTGATGGAACAAAACTGACTTCTTCATAGCATTTGGTGAACTAAACAACCTTCCTTCCAATAAATTCTTGCCACACTGCAATGTACTTCATCATCTATTTTTGCAGGCACTCAATCTCCCTGAAGTGACACATACAATGTCTGGACCAATATGCATTACCATTAGGCTGGGAGCAAAGAACCTGCACAACCTATACAGATACAATTTAGTCAAGTCTAGTCAGTAGGAAGCAAATAATATTTAGCTTCCTAGGATGAAGTAGCACATCAAAGCTAAATTACATTCAAGTCTGGGAAGCTGCTAAAAGTTATAGCAGCAGTGGGGAATCATTTCATTAATACCCACTGTTTCGCAACTTATTCTCTTTCATTGCCTAAAAGAGCGTAAATGCTTAATAAATCTGAGATAGCACAGGACCTTTGCATACATGCTCAAAGGACAACCCATATTCATGCACAAAGAAGGGTTGAGTGCTATAGCCAGCCTCTTTCTTCAGTTTATATGCTGTTCTTCAATGCCATTCTGAAAAAAGGATTTGGAAAATCGTGGTGTAATTTCCTTATGAAAATTTATTAGTGAGAAGCAAACTACTCTTTCCTTCATCAAGCAAAGCTATGCCAACCAGCATGGAATAAATCCATGCTTTCATTTCATACAATGCCTGTTACCAGCAAGCACCAAACCTCCTATTCTTATATAAGCTTATATGGAAACTTGCCAATGGCCTAGTACAAACTTATTTAAGTAAATCTAATATATTAAATCAGATAGATTATGATTTCTATTCAGAATCTGGAAGGAAAAGAACGAAAACAGCAGCATTTAAGGATGGTCTCATTCTATGGTAAATGTGGAATAGAATCTATTTCCATTCTCTTGGATTTTTCTCTGCAGTAGAAAAGTTATGTTGTTAGAAAAGTACTGAGCCCTTCATCTTGGAGAGGTAGCCAACATGAAAGGTAAAGAACGAAGATTTTAAATCTTCTATAGCAGGCTGCAGTTAAAAGAAAACAAAGAGAAAATTGCAAATCTACCCATATATGTACAAGCAAGAGCTTTTTCATTTACTGTTAGTAAGGTCTCATATACTCAAGTGCCAGCATTAGGCAGATAATACAGGCATATCTGACCTTCCCCGCATACTATCAAACTGTTACCAGTCTAGCCTACCTTGATAAAATCAGTTCACTGATGAAAACAGTTGAATGAAGCTGAAGTCATTAAAGACAGGCATAAATTGGTAGAGAGAAAGAGAGAGAGAGAGAAAGCATTTTGAAAGGTTTGCAGCTTTAATACAGTATTTGGACTAAAAGGTACATGTGCAGCTGTTCAGTTTTGTCATGGCTCGGGATCTGTCTGATTCCTGGCTGATGCTTTGGGTTCACAGAAGTGAGTTTCCTTGAGGAAACGCAAGGACTGCGAAGTGGATCCTCCCAGAACTAAAAATATTGTATTTATTTCATAAACATCACTGTATTTCACTACACAGAAAATGTATATTTGTCCTGGAAGTCAAAAACAATGCTCCCCTGCTGTAACAAGACAGAGCTGGTATATACCCTTTCCTTATGTTTCTGAAAGAGAAACCAGGCATGTGTCAAAAGTTCATTAATCTGCTTACACATTTTTGTGATATATTTAGAAATGTGTGACACATTATCCAGGCAAAAGAGGAATCAATATGAAAGAATCTGGTTATGCACAAGACACTACTCATTTCATGAGTTTAAATCTACCGTTGACATCTTATAGTTTATTCATAATCATCTGGATTACAGAATTAAGGTACGTAGAACTATCCTAATTTAACGCATTAGGATGTTTGTAAGCAAGGTCATCTAAAGGCTTCTTGTTGTATTTTGCCAGGTATTCTCCTGTTCTCACAGGGAGAACATACTCTTGACTCATACTTGTGTTACAGGTTTGCTTAAAGGATGTTCAGGGAAAACTACCACAGAATAGTAAGATTACTATATATTAGGGCAAATATCTAGTTACACACATACAAAAAAGATGGTGCATAGCATGATATGCAAGAAAGTAAAATAATAGTGTTCTTATTTGATAATCTTTTGGATCCCGAAGGAGGACTTTAAAAATAACTGTCATGAATCCAACTTTTTATTGATGTTTACAGCTAATTTTTCAAATGAAATATGACTTTTTCTGAAGTATAGTTCTATAAATCTAAGGGTGTATTCTAGCAGAAATCTCATTTTCTTGAACTGCAGAGGCCTGCTAACATGAGTTTAACTTCTATTCCACATACCAATTAGGACAATAGTGTACAGCTGTAATGTATTTCTGACATTTTAATTATGAAAATAGTCCCTATTTTGAGGCAGCTGGAACACTGGAAATAATAATGACAAAAAAGTTAATTTGTGTTGTGAGCATGTTGATAAACACAGACTGTAAATAAAAGTTAGCAGACACCCAAAAGGCTCTTGTCAACTTGTGTGCAGTTCTGGGCTCCTCAGTACAAGAAGGACATTGAGCTTCTGGAGAGGGTTCATCGTAGAGTGACAAAGATGATTAAAGGACTGAAGCATCTACCGTATGAGGAAAGACTAAATGAGCTGGGCCTGTTCAGTCTTGAGAAGAGAAGACTGAGAGGAGATCTGATCAACATGTACAAGTATCTCAGGTACCTTAGGGGTGAATGCAGGGAAGATGGGGCCAAACTCTTCCCTCTGGTGGCCAGTGACAAGATGAGGGGTAATGGATGCAAGTTGAAACATAGGAAGTTTAATCTCCTTATGAGGAAGAACTTCTTTACTGTGAGGGTGACAGAGCACTGGAACAGGCTGCCCAGAGATGTACAGTCTCCTTCTCTGGAGATCTTCAAAATCCACCTGGATGCCACCCTGTGCCACATGCTTTTAGTGTCCCTGCTGGTGCAGGGGGGTTGGACTAGATGATCTCTAGAGGTCCCTTCCAACCTTAACCATTCTGTGATTCTGTGTGATTCTGTGAACAATTTGTCTTTTTATATATATTGCCAGAGAAAGAAAGATAATTATGAATTTAAATTTCATTTCCATGTCCAAAGTCTCAAAAATTAAAAAAAAAAAATCACCTGAGAAAGTTTTAAAACGTTGAATAAGATAAAGAACTAAAATATACCTGATAGTGAGAATTCGCCTTTTAGACTTTCACTTTCTCGGATTAGGAAGGCTCCTGCCTGGTTTCCAGGATATGACAGTTGTCTCTCTGCATCTGCTCGTTTGATTGGACCAAAAAACCATCTGAAAAATAATTAAAAAGCATTAATTTTATCAATAAATAAAACACAATGGAAAGGGAATTTAGCTTTTATAAACATACTGCAAATTTACAAAGCGTGTGTGGCATGCTGATTAGAGTTACAACAGTATTAAAAAAAACCTTTTAGAACTACACAAAAATGTGTACAACAAATGATTTCTAGTGAAATAGAGTTCAAAAGTGGTTGAATGTCTTCTCCTCCACCCCCCAATAAATCACCAAGAAAATTTTGCCACTGCTATTGTCACAAAAAGAGATGCTCAAGCCCACCTGACTTACTTACACAGAGGTAAAGGTATGTGGTAACATTCAGACATCTTAAAAATCAAAGAGATCCAAAATAATAGCAGTGAACCAATGTTTCAAGAGGCAAGTCAAGCTAGAATCTTCTCCATTCCTTTTTCATGTTGATATCTCAAATGCCTTATTAGCAATTCTTTAACTCTGCTACTGTTAGATGAGCAGAACCAATGCTTCTTTCAAGTCACTGGCAACACCTGAGCATCTATGTCCTTTGAAAATCTACTCCTTTAAAAATATTTGCAAAATTTTCCATCTATTACTAACATTTACAAATACATTTAAAGCTATAGTTTTAGCTTGTTCATCTGAGGGTGCTATTTAGTTCTTTTGCTGCTCTGTGTTCAGTATAAACTAAACTGAAATAAAAAAAGAAGTGATTCAGCATTTTCAACTGGGATAGCATTCAGATTCCATCAAGCAAAGATAAAGCTCTTTCCAAGATTAGCTTATCTGAAGTAAATGGTGATAAATAGTTATCAGAAATATATCACCTACTCACAGGAGAGGTCCTTTTAAATTAATTATAGATAAACCTAATATGCAAACTTTTAAGATAAATCAATGTATCACACGACACCTAAGTTGCTTATTCAGCTAACTACTTTATTTGTCTATTACTAGTTAAAAGTACAGAAGGAGACATCAACAAATTACTTTAGTGTCTGTAATGCTTACAGCCATCAAGAAGAACGAAGGAAATTAATTAGTGTTGGGTGAACTGTTTAAAATAATATCCTGCTTGCATGAGGAAACTTTAGGAATGAGTAATGTTTTCCTGTATGAATAAAGAGAAAACAAATAAAGGCAAATACAGATGGAGCTAACCTGCACTGAATATACTTTGATAACAATAGAAAATGAAACCCATATATTCCAGACTACATTCCAAATCTCTGACTTTAAGCAGATTTGAATAAAATGTGCACAGATCTTGATCCATATTTGGCAAGGAGAGAGATCTGACAAGCAAGGCTATAGGTGTAAAATTTCTGGAAGAAGGGTAATTAGTTAAACATAATAATACATTAATTTGACTGTAGAAACCAAGTTAACCAACATGTGTTGAAATCCTTTACTGAAGTTCTGATCAAACAAATGAAAAGAAAGAGCATGACCTAAACTTTCTATCCAAAACCAAAGACAGTTTGCCAGTCCTAAAAAATAAATAGAAGCTTTCTGAAATTTCTAAACTTCCTAGCTCTGAGAGTAGTATCTGAAAACCATAAACTGATTTTAAAGAATTTGAACTGATTTTTTCTCTTCAAAGTATAAATATTCCTTTAGTAAAAGTCAGTCTGACTAGAATTTCTAACAAACAGGAGTGTACGAGTGTTTAATTTCATATCTCCTTTCTCCACAAGTGAAGAGGAGAGCACCCTTTCAAAAGGATTTCATTTTGCTCTGTAGTCAAAATAACTTCCAATGCAATGCTCAAAAGGCTGAATTTTATGTTCAGGATAGTCACTTACATAGTTTTTGTATGGCCACAAAACACTTCGAGAAAAAAAAAATAATTTTTACAAAAACAGAAATAACACACAGCACTATCCATTACACTCTTAAATTACCTCACCAGAATTTTCTAGTTATTTTAGTGTACTTTAATGGCACTAGAAAGTTCACAAGAATGTTGAATTATCAATTCATACACAGTTCCAACCTAAGATAGATTGCTTTGGATCATGATTGCACGCAGCATATATGTGTATTAACAGATAACCAAGTATGACACTAATGGCCCTAACTTATGCCTAGATGTGATATTTACATTTCTAGTAGGATATGTTTGATTAGTAAGAGCACAACAACAGTGATCTTCCGTCAGGGAGACCCCAGAACATGTTATCTTATATCTGAATCAACACTGCATCCAGCACTCCATTCTTTTTCCCTTTCAGTGTAGGCTGCCAGACATGATCTTTTAGAGATTGTTTTTGACCAGTTCCCTAGAAATAATCACTTCCACCATCCTTCACAGCTCCCAGAAAAACTTCATTAAAAATTCCAATCTAATTCCATGCCAGTTCTGATCACCATATATGAGAGGATGACCTTCATGTAGGTCTATAACAAACACAACCCTTACTTGTTGCTGATGATGCTCAACATAATTTTGGTGGGATTTGTTGCAGTCGGTCAGGGATCTCACCTGTTCATTTCTTTACTGCAAGTTAATTTCACTGGCAGGTGGACCCATAAGATCTTCAGCCTTTGTACATGATGTTCCCTGACTATGTCACTATCATTCCTGAGACCCATACTCCTATCCTATAGTCTTTTCCTTCTAGCAAAAGAAGTGATAGTCCTTCCTCAGGCTGAAATCTGGTGAATGCTCTTGAAGGACAAATTATTTGGGAAAGGAAGACAATGATCTTAGGGAAAGAAAAACAATGAAGATATATTGCTTTGGGAAAGAAAAATGATAATGTATGAAAGATGGATCTCCGAGCCCAGCTATATGATAGGTAACCTCTTAGGAGACTGTATCTGCTAGAGGAAGCCGCAGGAGACAGATCCTGTCACCAGCACTGGTCCCTGCTTCCTGCTCATTCAATTCAGCTTGAACAAAAACTGACTCATGAGTCCAACACAACATGATAGTATTCCCTGGTTCCATCACTTTCTTTGCCCAGAAGCTCTCTCACTCCACAATGCAATGCACTGTCTGTGCATTGCACAGACACCTCATCCACCCAGCTCTAAATTCTGGCCCTATGCTACATGAAAATCTGCTAAAATATAAACAATCAGTTCAACTTCTCTTCATTTATATACTTTTTTAAAATTATTACATCAGAGGATATGGAGGAAATTTTAATATGGAAAGAGGAGTAACATAGGCCAAAGATACTGTATGCTGAATAGCCGCTGACAAAATCATTAAAGTGATGAACGATAAGGAGACAAAGGTCCACAGTGCTATATCATTAGCAGGGCTTCCAGTATCTGGCAGCATGTCTTGAAAAGATTAGCCCCATCAAGAAAACAGAAATTAGAAATATTCTCATCCAAAAAAAAAAAAAGCATATCAGGTTCCCAGGTTCACTTCCACTGTTTTTCCTCTCATTAATGTAAAATGCCCTTCTGATCACTTGCACTACTTGAAATAGAGACTGAAAATTTAACAGAGGATCTCAACTAAAATGGAAAGTTTTGTTTTTCGCCTAAAATTAACCCTATCTGAAGCACAAGCTTAGACTCAAACAAGAGGACCATGGCCACAGTAAAAAAAAAAAAAAAAAAAAACATTCTTTGGGAAGAATTCTTCCAGTAGCTGACCATTCTCTGGGTAGCCGCTTTCCAGCCCCACTCACACTGGAGTGCTAAGCTTAGGCTTTCTCAGTACCCCAGTTCTTTAACTTCTGCTAACCATAGTTGTAGTATGAGCTTTAACCAAGACCCCAGCCATAGCCTGAATAGCAAAGCCAGAGCTGGCTGCACAACATTATATCTGACGTGACTGAATTTGCCTTAGTTATTAGCTCTAACTAGGAGGACTTGCAGGTTATTGGAGGTAAGATATGGCTGAAAGCTGGGGTCTGTGGCATAGTCGGAATGTTGTGAGTACTCAAATGAAAGATACTGGGGCCTGAGGCAGCAGGAAGGGATAGCTGCACATAGAAACTGTAATAATTAGAATAGAATTGGAGGCGGAGGGGAAGAAAAGACTGCTAAGAATGACTGTGGAACATACATGACAAATGTGTTCAAAGAGTGTACAAGTGCAACAGAACAAATACCAGGCAATCAGTCACATGAAAGTGACTTTCAAAAACCCTGAAGATGGTAAAATGGGGAGCATTGACCCATCCTGGATCAGCACTTTGTAGCATGTAGGCATCTCCAATCTGATCTTGCTTAAGTGCTTGTAACTGGGATTTATTGGGATTTGATGGCAAGGTAAATCTCACAAGACTGACAAATCTTGCACAAATTGTGATTCTTGTGATTCCTGCCCATTTCCATTATGGAAGAAGCATTGATGATAAAGAGGTTAGTTTGCCCTGCAGTAGCATAACTGGAGTATGTTACTTCTGTCTGTGATACTAAGCTAAGAGGAGAATAAAAGAAACATTTTCTAAACGAAGGAAGAGCTAAGAAGTACAGAAATTACAGCATAATACTTGGGAAAGGATAAAGAAAAATAGATATTTTATACCAAATATGTTTCAATTTCTCTGGAATGAAAAAAGCTTATACAACCACTAAATCAAATAGCTAAAAGCTTCAACAATATATAAATTTTACATTTTAAGTCTATCAAAATCTGCATTCACAGAGTTTTTGGTGAAGAGTCAACAACTCCGAAGTTAGGACATACCAATATTAAAATTGCTTCTACAGCATCCACTCAGTCTTTTTTCAGGAAAATCCAATGTGATACCATCTTTAATTATACAGCCACATCCACTTCTTCCTTGCAGTGTGTTAAAATGAACGCTTACTGAATAGTTATCCTGTATTTTGTTTTGTCACAGTGTAGATGATAAGAGTTTATTTATTTTGCATTGTTTAGTGTCTGCTCTCAAGAAAAGTTATAAAATTATATGAATGGCTAATTTCCTTGCAGCTTCTGTTATAGTGCTCATCACTACAGTATATGAGTGCTTTACAAACACTCATTAACTTCTTTCTATGGCACTCCTTCTTGTAAAATATTTTTTACAGAGAAGAAACT